ATGAAGTTAAGGAAAAGTTGTATAGAAAAGAATGATAATATTTATTTTATTACTCGTTTTACTTTTATATTTAATAAAAATCACTTTGCTCATTACTGTGCTTAATAAAGTTCAGAACCTCTAACATATGATAGCATACGTCGAGGCGTTGCAACCATGGCCGGCGCTAGGCATTTTGTCGATCGGCGTAACTTTTGAAGGTTTTAAATTTTGCTTTCCGGTGCATTAATAAATTAAAAACCATTTTCAGCTTCTAAATGCCTCTGCCTTGTGTATTACCTAAATTCCAAAATTTTTGCTGCTCAGTGTTTTTCTAAATTCTAAAAATTTTCCCGCCTTTTAATTCTACCGCTCCTGCTGTGACGTCAGTCCTGGTTTCAACGAGTATCAGTTTAAAGCTTACGATTATTTTAAAAATTCTTGTAACATGTTTATTATTCTAGTATTTCCGAAAATAAAGATGTTTCTATGTTTAACGTTAATATCAGTCTTATGCTGTCAAAAGTCTGTCATTAAAACATCTCTTGTATATTTAAATTTTCAATACTATACCGATATGCTTCTATTAAAACAAATCTTCATTAAATGTTAAGGTACGTTAAATCATTAACATTTTAAAAATTTATTTTAATGATTCTGTTCAACTTATTGTGTTGCGATATATTCGATTCTAATTAAAAAAATAGGAACTTTGATTAAATACTCTGGATTTATATATTAGCTTCAAACTGTCAAACCAGATTTTAGTTGAAGAGCGGTTATTATTCAATTATTTTTATTCTCCATTTCAGATATTAGATGAAGAAATAAATTCCATTTTTACTTTCAGTACGTGTTGAAAGTATTTCTGCTGTCTTGGCTAATTCGATAGCAGTATTAAAAATTCGAACAAAACATAGATGTTTTGGCGACTCAACAGTTATGTGCAGCAACCCCAAAATAACAAGCTAAATTTCAGAAAAACGAAACCCTTCCCAGCAGGGAGCCTATTAGTGCAATCACTCCCGTCAAAATTGCTGGGGGAAAGAAATCCTAACGCGAGCGTATATATGCTTGCTGGCCGCTTAGAGCAAGATTTTAGTTGGACGTATATATGCTTGCTGGGCGCTTAGAAGAGGATTTTGGTTGGACGTATATATGCTTGCTGGCCGCTTAGAGCACAATTTTGGTTGAAAGTATATATACGGCTCGGCCACTTGGAGGGTTAAATGTAATCCCATTTACTCTAAGCTGATACTTATGACTAATGATTATGACTCTAAGTTGATACTTGAAAGGGATTTTTTCGTGATGTGTAAGTACGTATATATGCATTTCGCATAACTCAAAAACGATTAGTTCTAGAATTTTGAAATTTTGTATATGGGCCCGTTATAACATCTAGATGTGCACCTCCCTTTTTATTGAAATCGGTAATACTACAAAACGTAAATATGTATATTTTAAAGAAATTATAATTAAAGTACATATATATATATATATATATATATATATATCCTTATAATTAAATGTAAAGTACACAGATATATATATAAATATAAAATAAAAGCCAAGTAAGGCGAAAATAAAAGCCTTGGTTTTTATTTTATCTATTTATCACTAAGTAAGTTACTTGGCTTTTATTATTTTACCAGAGTATAGATAGAAAATTGGTTATGTAGCCTATTCTTCTAAAACGACGTTTCGTCGCTGCCTTCCCCCACCAATTCCCTTTTTTTTCGGTTTCGGATTATTTGGTTACGGCAATGCACACTACGGCTATTGCCCAAGAGAAGGGATGCCTTCGTGGAGGACTTTTTAAAGGAAACTGACTCATATGCAAGTTACACATGGGGAAAGCCATGAAAACTCCCGTGCAGCCAGCCGTTAGCCGGGAATTGAACTTCGGAACGAACTATTAGTCTTCAGCGACTTTACCGCTCGAGCGCTGGTGGGTTCTTCGCTGTTTGCAAAATAGGTGTTCACTTTACGATAAAGCAAGCACCTGTTTTCTTCAATTAAAACAGGTTAGACGATTTGACTCTTAGTACTTCATTCTCACTTAGCTTTTGATTTCTAATATTGATTCAATATTTTCTGTAGACATTCTGATTAGAATAATGGATTTCAAACATGTGCAAAAGGTGTGTATCTGAATATAATAAGGTTTTTATAACATACGGCCCATTTTATTAATTTATAAAACAATATTATCGCTGTTTAGAACCACATTATCGCTGTTTTGAAAGAAAGCAAAAATGTGACAAATGTATAATGAACATTAATATACATGCTTTACTAGAAATTCACCCTTTCGTCATTAGCGGTTCTGATGAAAGGAATGGGGAGAAGCAGCAAACGAAGTATCGAATAACCGACAAATAACGAAATCTAATCTTTAATGCCGTCTGCCAGTTTCTTTAGCCCTCCAGCGGTAACGTCGTTGAACACTGGTAGTTCGGTCCGAGGTTCGAATCCCGCGAACGGGATGGCTGCATGGGTGTTTTCGTGGTTTTCCCCATGTGTAAAGTGTATATCAGCCATTTCCCTTAGAAAGTCCTCCACGAAGGCATCCCCTCTTTAGGCAGATAGCCTACTGTGCTTTGCCATAATTAAATACACCAACACCAACCCAGTTTCTTTATTTGTATTTGGGAAAGTTTTATTGTCATTATGAAAAGTGAAATTTGATATAGATACCGCATAACTTTTTAAATTATGCTTATTTTTGCTGCACTTCATTTAAACTTATTTCCTCGAATTATTTCTAACTTAATTAAGCGATACCCGAAGGCAAGTTACAAATGGCATCAAACACTGCAAATTTTGAAATTAAATTTCCCGGTCAATCTCTGTCTACGAGACTCAAACTTCTTGTATTTTTATTTTTTCATAACGAGTATAAAACTTTGCCAGCTATAAATATAGGAACCAGAATACAACATTAAAAGTTAGATTTCATAATTTGTCCAAAATTAATTCTTTTTAAAATTTGACATTGACAAAATATGAATATTTTCGTCATTTAAAATACTTCTGTATTTTTGTTGCACCGTACTTAAACTTGCTTCTTCGAGTTATTGACATTAAATTACATTAATTCCGTTATCTATTAGAAAATAATTATAGCAAATCATCTAATTACGTTCATTAATTAAAATCTATCATTAATTAATTTAATAACATTTTTCTAAGGTCACTTTCTAAGAGATCTGTATTTTTGTGAACATAAACAAACATTGGTAGTGAACATCACCTTTTTAAGACCACGACATGTAAAATCCTCTAAAAAGCATGAATGGTTGCATTTAAAGAGGACCCATTGCTTTTAATAAAGAATGTACATTAATGTTAATTATACATGTTTTTGGTGTGTGTGCCAAAATAGTGATACCGTGGTTCTGTTGCTTTAGAAATGTGTGAAATTAAAAAAATGGATACAATATAACAAAAATGTTGTTATATTTAGATACAACACCTTCTGAACACGTCTGAAATTCATTCTTCTGCTCAGCATAATTCGTCTGCGTAAAATAATAAATAGTATTAGAAATCAAAAGCTAAGTCGAAGTAGAAACAGTCATCTCTTCTAAACCATTTTAATTGAAGTAAAACACGTTCGTCTTATCGTAAAGTAAACACCTATTTTTCAAACAGCGGATAAAACGGGAAAGAGGGAATTGGTGGGAGAAAGGCAGCGAACGAAATGACACTTTTTGGAGTTGGAATGAAATGAGAAAGGACGAAAAGGTACTAAGCCAATAAGACAAGGTCTGGTATTTTACTTTATTATTTAACTATTCATCATAAATTTAAGAATTATTTTAATTTTTATTTGTCTTTACATTTTTGTTAAATTTTACTTATAAGTATTTTATATTTCAGTTGCTAATTATTATGTTACTTTAATTATTCATTATTTTAATCACTATTTTTTATTATTTTAATTAATAAGTTTTTTACTAAGTAATTTTTTATTATTTTAATTACTAATTAATGATATTTTTGTAATATTTATTTTATTTATTTATTTTTTATTTTATTTTTTCCTATTTTCCTGACGGCCTTCCGTAGGCGCTTCTGACTTTTGTGACACAACAAAAAGAGGTGAATTATTTCCATCCAAGAATACGACGTAAAACTCCCTATCGCATAGGGCCGTATACCGATCCCTAGAGCTGTATACCGATAAAATAGGCTCAGGATACGAATACCGATGGATTTTACCGAAAGTAACGAGAAACGATACGATAGTAACGAATACTGGTTCACCGAGTAACGAATACATACGGGTACACAATTTCTCGTTACTTCTACAGCACTAACTAGTAGAGTTGACAAGTTCACAGCAAACTCATAACCAAAATAATTAACCAAATTACCAAATTACTAACCAAATTACCGAACCACTAAACGAAATACTCTTCGACAAATGCACAGCTTCCTGTTTCATTCTCACAACTGAGTTTATACATTTATATCTATTAAAAATATAAAAAAATATGAATGTAGTTAAAATAAAAGTTGTGTCTCTTTCAAAACAAAATGAATTCATCAGTGATTTATTTTTTTACCCTCCCCCAAACATGTTCAAAGAGCATATACACTTCAACTTCGACTTCGTAGACTTTGTTTATTTGTTGTTCAGATGGTTAAATAGTGTTTTGATGAGAAATTTTTTTGTATATTTTGTTAAGGTTTGATTATTTAGTGTTTAAATCCAGCTGAACTTTAAAAAAAAAATAACGTTTTACGGGCTTTTCAGTTTTTATTTATGTTTACGTGACATTCTGAGGTAACGTACTTTTTTTTAATGTTTTAGCTAATTGACTGCATTTATTTAAATGCGTTGATATTTATCCTAGTTGCCAGCCCTTCCAATTTTCATCAAATCTCCCGGTGATAACCGATTTCCCCCGTTTTTAGCCGTTGATAAGGAAAATCTTTCTCAGCTCTGAACAAAGTGTAATGACAAATTTAAATTGTGCGAATTCCATTTCCTATTAATCTATCTGTGCAAAGGCACAGCTTTAGTATTAGTCCTTTTTGGCGAGAAATTTGTTTGGCGACATTTTGGAGTGATAAATGAAAAATTATGATAACCTTGGTATCCCTAAATACTGAGCTTCAAACATGCTGCCATTTCTGTCCACGTAACTTTAACGAATTTGATAGGTATCAGAGCTTTGATGGCAGGAGGGATAAAATTGTGTGTTTTTCTTAAAGTTACTTTTGTGTTAGGTAAGCACAACATTTAAAATACTTTTTAAAAAGCCAAATTTTTGATAGTTAAAACTGGTGCTTTTAATATTACATCACATGAGACTTGACATTTTTTCATATGTCAACTCTGCATATTACTATAAACTCCACCCCCCCCAGGAAAAAAAAAACACATTTTCAGTAGCATGAGGTAAACTCTTGGTGTTTCCTTTGCTAAGGAGATCAAAATTACCATGGTTACCTCATTTTAGAACTATAGGGATGTGTAATTGCATGAATTCATAGGTTCAAATCAGGACCAAAATCAGGTTTCATTATTGCTTTTATAACATTTTCATAATTTGTCTGACTATAAAAAATATAATGTTGCTTAGATTATGGAATATATTGCTTATAATTTAGAGTTCTCAAATTTTGTAAATCTTACAACCTAACAGCTGTATTATTACTTCACTGAGTATTATTACTTTTATTAATAGTATGTTGACATAACAGTCGACTTTTTATTTTAAATTTTATGCAAATTTTCTACATTACTTAAACATTTTATCTAACAGAAATCTGAATTTTTGTAATAAAAACTCCATAATAAAAGTAAGAGTACAATTTATATATAAAAGTTTGACTACATGGCAAGCACTTAGATACTGATTTCAATGTCTTTAAATGTTATTATCATTAAGTTTAGATATATTCTTATTAAGTTAAGATATACTTTTATTCTATTATAAAGTTTAGATGTACAGAGAACAGAAGGCACACTTTGTGCTTACGACTCAGTCAACCACTTGTGGCAAGATAACTTATGATAACAATTAAGTTCAAATGTAAAATTTAAATTCAAATAAATTTGTAGCCCAAAGGCTGCACAAATCAATTTAATGCAAAGTTGGTTAAAAACTTAACTGGCATGGAATTCAACTATCAGCAATTATAATGCAAGGCTGAAGACTACAAATCTTTTCTTATCTAGCAACCTATTAATGTGGCCTGAAAAGGCAAAACACGGTTTGTTTTACAAAATAAAAACTTCATTTGGATTCTGGTGAGAAAACGGATGGAGGAAATTGACAGTAAAGATCCCAAGCATGAAATAACTCTGGTTACAAAATAAAGGAACGTTACAATATACTTTGTTCTCTCATTAATTATTCAGTACATGAAATAGTGTAATGCGTTTTTTTTGCATCACATACAAATTATTTAGTTTAAATGCTTTCCAAAACTGACAGGATTTTGCAAACATATTGACCATATTTTTTGATCTATAGATGCAACACTTCTTCTCTTCAGAAGTAAGATTTAGAATTAAGAAATAAGAAAATAAGAGAGAATTATGAATAGAAAATAAATACATATGCTGGCTAGCAGAAGAAGGATCCCTTCATAAAGTACTTTTTAAGAGAAACTGGCTCAGATTCACATTACATCTACGGAAAACTACTAAAACTCCCATATAGCCAGCCTGAACTACCACTGTTCAGTGGCTATCATTCCACCACTAGTGGATTCCAATGACTGTTCGAATTTTTCACAGAAATCATCATTTACAATGATTGTTGTATTATTACCATTGGTACAAAATTTACTCATTATGATAATTTAATTTTAGCTTTTAAATTATAACCATAAATTACTTGTAATAAATTGAGGGATTAAAAAATACACACTTCTTAATATTTTTACCATTTACAATATTTAATCATAAAAAGTATTTCTAACACTGGTACAAAACTTGCCCATTATAATTGAATTTGATTTTCTTCACTTTGAAATATTTTTTTATTTCCTTTTAATAACAGAATCTAAGAAACTAAAGTAACATATACTAGTTTGAAATGCATTTATTAACCTTTTGTAAATTTCATTATTCATAAACATAAAAATTAACCTTTTTTAAATTTAAAATATTAATGTTTAATACATTATATTTTGTAATTAAAAATATTAACATATTGTAACTTTCATTACTCATAACATAATAATTGTCATAAATTCATTTACAGTAGTGTTTCAAGAATTTATCATAGCAGTACTAGAAATATTGAAAATTAGAGAAAGACTGTTTATTCTGATTAAGAGCTTATTTTTTAGGATTGTTATTTAGTCTAGATCGGGTTTTGTTGACAATCCACCATTTTTTCCGATCTTCAAAACCGGGTCTACCTTGGCGACCTAAGTTTTGTCGCCAAATAAAAAAATCGCCAAAAGGACCAATACTAAAGCTGTTCCTAATCTGCTGCTTTTCAGCATTTCTTATTAAATTTTATCTGAATTGTCTTAATTTACTATAATCATTTATAAAAATTATTATTTATGAAGATTCAACTAATATTTAATCAGTTAATATTTGTAAATAATTTTGCCTTATATCAATGAATGGGTTAGAATAGAGAGAAGGGTATCTCTTGTATTATCGTAAAATTGTTGTTCGTAAGGGCTTGGGATGTTGGTTAGGAAGTACATTGTTTATTTTTAGGTTTAGATTGTAAAATGGCTTAATGTGGTAAGATTAATTTGAAGTTTCTGCATGATTTAGAAAGAAAGGGGAAAAGAACATTACTTGACTAGTGTGTAAATGAAGGTTTACTTAGTAGCCATCATTAAGTGTCCTGTTTGTAGGAAGGAAATGCGTATGGTCGAACGTCGGATGATAACGGCGCTACAGAGGGTATTTTTACTCTTATTTTGTGAATTTATGTGGTGATGCCAGTATACAAATTCTAGTTCAGATAATTCTACAAAGTTTTTGGATGCTGTTAAGGAATTTTTTTTTTGGTTAGAGTAGAGAGAAGGTGGGTAATGTACAGAATCGCCCACTTATTTGGCACATTTTACAAGAGTAAAAAGAATTGGATTTTTGTCAATTTCAAGTGAAAATAGGTTAATATGTACATGGAGTCAAGGGAGTATTCAGTGCCATTTTTGTGCAATTCTGGGATTTTTTTAAATTTAAAATAGGTCAATGTGTATATTTGTACCGAGTATGTGCAATTCTTAAAGACGCGCCAAACAGTGGGTGATTTTGCACTTTTCCCGAGAAGGGACCCTTTTTATTATCGCAAAGTTGTTTCATTTATCATTAAGTTGTTTAATGTATGGTAGCTTGAGTAATTGTGGAAATCCTATTATGATGTAATCGGTTGCATGATTGCAGTAAATTTGTAAGGGCTTGTGGTATGTGTTGGTTAGGAAGTATATTGCTTGTTTTATGGTTTAGATGGTAAAATGGCTGAATGTGGTAAGATTAATTTGAGTTTCTGTACAATTTGGAGAGAAAGGGGAAAAGAGCATTATTTGACATGTGTGTAAATGAAGGTTTACTCAGTAGCCATTATTAAGTGTCCTGTTTGTAGGAAGGAAATGCGTATGGTCAAACTCGGATAATAATGACGCTATGGAGGATATCTTTTACTCTTATTTTGTGAATTTATGTGGCGATGCCAGTATACAGATTCTAGTTCAGATAATTTTGAAGTTTTTAAATGCTATTAAGGAATTTTGTTTGAATGAAGACATGTTAATTCGTAAATAAGGTAAGTGGATATTTCCTTTGAGTAGTGCAAAGATGAATTTCCTTATGTTATTTTATTGTTTGATTTAAAATGTAGTTTATTGAGATTATGTATTTTTTTCTTGGCTGCTCCTTTGACTTTTTAAGTGAATATAGTTCAATGTGTACATGGACGAAGTCAAGAGAGTGTGCAATTCCCTGATATTTTTTCAAGTGAAAATAGGTCGATGTGTACATGGATAAAGTCAAGGGAGTGCACAATGCCAGGTTTGTGCAATTCTCTGATGTTTTTTCAAATGAAAATAGGTCAGTGTGTACATGGATACCGAGTTTGTGCAATTCTTTGTCTTGTTACGAGGGCTATCCAGAAAGTAGATTACGTTTTGGAATAAAAAAATAAACAAAGTATAGGAAACAAATTTTATTATATACAGATGAAAGCCACACTCAAATACTACTTTTCTACATAGTCACCATACAAATTAAGGCATTTATCGTAGCGATGTACGAGCTTGGAAATTCCTTCGTCGAAAAATTCGGCCGCCTGCGCCTTCAACCACTTCGTTACCTCTTCTTGCAGCTGTGCGTCGTCATCAAAACGCTGCATAGCCAGCCACTTCTTCATTGCTGGGAATAGGTGGAAGTCGCTCGGTGCCAGGTCGGGACTGTACGGCGGATGAGGAAACAACTCCCACTTAAAAGATTCAAGAACTTTACGAGTGACATTTGCCGTGTGGGGCCGGGCGTTGTCGTGAATCAACAAGATCTTAGAGCTCAACATTCCTCTGCGCTTGTTTTGAATTGCTCTTCTGAGTTTTTGGAGAGTTTGGCAATACCTTTGAGAGTTTATTGTAGTGCCTCTTTCCAGGAAGTCCACCAAAATTACACCTTTTCTGTCCCAAAAAACAGTCGCCATCATCTTCCTTGCCGACATTGTTTGCATGCATTTCTTGGGTTTTTGGGGAGAACTTGTGTGCCCCCACTGCATTGATTGCAATTTCGTTTCACAGTTCACATGTTTCACCCCATGTTTCGTCACCAGTAAACGATGCGATCGAGTAAAGAGTCACCATCCTTATGGTAAGCGTCCAAAAAAGTTCAACGCTGCAGCCATTCGCTGATTTTTGTGGTCCTCTGTCAAGATTTTTGGAATCCATCTTGCACAAAACTTGTGGTAACCAAGCTTTTCGCTGATGATTTCGTGTGCAACAAACTTCGCGAAATTTGTGGAAAACTCAAAGAAAGTTCCGTTATTGTGAAATTTCGATTTTCACGGACTTTAGCATCGACTTTTTCGAGAAGTTCGGCGGTCACTATGCTGGGTCTCCCACTTCGATCTTCGTCGTGAACATGGTTGGTTCGGCCATTTTGAAATCTTATGACCCACTGACGCACTCCACCTTCAGTGATAATGTTGTCCCCATACACTTCACGAAGCTGCCGATAGATTTCTATCGGTTTACAGTTTTTTGCAGTCAGAAACCTTATTACTGAGCGCACCTCGCAGCTCGCGGGATTTTCAATTAACGCAGACATTTCAAACCGTCACAGTATCTGAACGGAGCACAGCACGAACCTCTCACTAGCACGGCTAGATGCAGACTGAGCTGCGCAACGCTCTGACCCCAAGATGGCCGCGCTAGCCCCGCCCCTAGCGGACACAGACGGAAACGTAATCTACTTCCTGGATGGCCCTCGTATTTCAGCTTTGTGTAGCGGCAAATTTTAGAACAAAAAATTGCCACTACACAAGTCAAAGAATTGCACAAACTCAGTGTCCCTGTACCACCAAAATTAGGTAATTTTCGCCAAGAGGTACTCGTAAGTATAGTTTTACCCAGTGAATGTTACAGTACTAAGTTTATCTGCAGAATAGAATCTACATTAATTATTAATTTATTTTCGTCATATTTTAAAGTACACTGATAAACAAAAGCTTTCGATTTACATTTTATATATTGTACATAGGTAGAGGATTTTAGTGCAATTGTATTTTTCTGCACAATGTAACATGAAAAATATAGAGAAGAAAGTTATGCCAGAAAAGTAAAAATACAGGATAAGTCCATTTAACACTGAGTAAATGGGTATCTCGCTAATTTGGTGAGATATTGATCCAATCTCTGTATCACCATAATAGATATTGTAATTGAACATCCTCATATCACCATCTAGTTATTGATATTTGCTTGTCTGCAGTGGTACATCACAGAAGGATTATCGCCTTCATTGAAAATATGTTCACAGCAATTAACGGATCAGTGGAGATTCTGATGTCTCTTATTAAGGAGCACTTGGCAAAGGGAAGAACTATTACAATTGATGAATGGCAGGCATGGGTATTATGTACATTAGACTGTTAATCATTCCATAAATTTCTTTACTTTGACAATAGGTGCACATACCCAGTCTAAAGAATCGAACAAGCGGCCTCTGAAAGTAAAAAAAAGTGGTGTTCACAAGAAAAATCGGTTAATCTTTAGATTATGGTAACTTGGTGATTTTTTGGCGACCAACTCTCCTACAGCAACCCTCTATTATTTTTTTCCCCACCGGCATTTTGTCTTCACGAAGTAAAGACATGTTTCTTTTCTTTTTATCTACTGAACACTTCTTCCAACAATCTACTAGCCGAATTACACTTATCTAGAAATTTTATCTAACAAAACTGCTTAATCATGACAAATATTCACTGCAAAAATTGGGAAAAAGTGCACAAGATTATACTCCTTACGCGTTTTTCATAACACATACACATAAACCATGTACACGTTGACTTATTTTTACTTGAAAAAACATCCCAGAATTGCACAAAAATGGCATTGCGCACACTCTTCACTATATCCATGTACACTGCTTTTTTCTCATAAATTAGAAAAATTTCACAAAAATACATGACAATTTTCTGAATCTTTAAACCCAGTAAAAAGAACATATATGAAATTACCTGATCGCGAAAAAGTGTATACTCTTTCCAAATATGAACATTTCCACATATAAAATAAATAAAATATCCAAAAACGTTTACCTCTAAATCATCTATTATATTATAAACGTCACCAACAAATTCATACCGCAAGCATTACAAATACTTAGTGTCAAATATTTAAATTATTTCCATACACGTTTACTTTCAACTAAAACGTATATACCAAATTCCTACAAACATAAAATTCACAAAATAACTACCATTTAATTAAAAATAAATTAAATTCAAAAACACTGCTTAAAATATAAATAAGCACATACATTAAATTAATAAAAATTAGCTTACAATCCTAATTACTTTAAACTAAATCATTGCTAATAACAATTTTCGCAATAATACCAAATTACTTTACTTCCACCTTACATTTAGAACAATACATAAAAATAATATCCTCAAATAATTAAAAATACTAACTTACCTAATCTTCTTCAGAATCTTGCTTACATGGTGGATGTACTTTTATTATGTATTCAATAAAATTATTGAACGACTTTTTCTGCGAATTTTTCCTCCACACTTACTCCGCTAAATAAAAAGCAAAATTCTGTTTATCACAATGCCTCGGAATGTCGCTTTTTATAGCACTCCACGTGCCCTCTATTGTATTGGTATGTGCACCTGTTTCCGGGTCTTTAATATTTGTGGTTCACAGCAAGATGTTTAAAACCTTCATGTTCCAAACATTCATACGATTTTTCACTTTAGACAGCGCCATACAATCCCAAAATTATTCAACCCTACTTCACACAACACACAATGAAGCTTAATACAAAATAATATACAGCCACAGATATTTTTTCAAATTCCCCCCTTTTCCGATTAAAGAACCGTAATTTGTCCATTAATATCACATGACATATCCCATGATCTCTCATTTCCCTCACACAAAATAATGCGTAATCGGAACTGAGTACTGCTCACATTATTACCAAAGTCCCAGGTAGTAACCTTTATCACCTCCAAAATGTCGCCAAACTACCAGTTACCATATTCTAAAGATCAGCCGAAAAATCTAGCTGAGCACGTCCTCAAACACCTGTTTCAGCTTGAAGTTAAACATAATGGCCAGAACCACTCATGGAAATTTTAAGTGCAATTAAAAATTATATTCTTTTAAGGTAATACATCTCCTTCAATGTACTGTTAATGGCATAGGTTTTTGAAAAAAGGGGGGAACTTTTTTAGGGCCATAATAATCTGAAAAAAGAAAATTATTGCTGGATATAAGTATGCACATTTTTTAAAACTCTTTTGTAATATTTCTATGATAATACTAACATTTGTTTGACTTTTTTATGCTAATCTTCACTAGCATTTGCTGAAGATCATGCTTTTCTACCAAATGTGAATTGTATTAAATACCATGTTGAACCAACTCATTTTCTGTATTAACGCTTTCTTTTAAGATTTTCTTTTTGTATTTTTAGGCTGTATGGACAGCATTGGTAAAGATTGTAAAGAACTGAAGCGACATTATGAAGCTTGTTTTAATTCATGGTATTCTGAAAGTTTTTTAAAGAATAAGAATGGGGACATGAGTATTTGTGAACCACTTTTCCAAGAATATCAAAAATGTTTAAAGGTAATTTTTGATATATAATTATATATATGTGTGTGTTTTAAAAAAATTGGATTTTTATTAAAGAAGGTATCTCAATAGAAACAGTTGAATTTTTTTATGCATTATTTGTACTAAAAGTTTTCTGTTTTCATTTATTTATATTGGGCAGATTAATGATAGTCCACAGAATGGATGTGGTTTGGAAAATCTTCTGTGGGGCCTATGGCTAAGTTCACAAAACATGTTGTTTCTGTTTTATTTCTTTTATTTATGTATATTTTCGTACTTCTAATTGTTTTCTATCTTCATATAAAGAGTATTTTAAATTATACCACAAAAATCTTGAAATAAGTATGTTAATTATTCCCGAACATATTTCTTAAATATTTTCCTGTTTCTCAAGATTGAAGGGATCTGTCAACATCATGAAGGAATTCCACATTTAAAAAAAAAAAAAAAAAAAAAAAAAAAAAAAAATGCCTGGAAGGGTCTGTTGTAGATCAAAACTAGAACTTCATTACCACGAAGAAATTTATTTTAATATTCATTTTGGGTAATAATACAATTTTATAAGTAAGAAAATGGTTTTGAAGCAGTATTAATCAAGCTATTTGTAGATCAGGTCTTCTTAGTTGGTGAGAAATTCTGTCTAAGAAGCGAAGGTAAAAATATATTTATGGGTGCCCCTTGGCGAAAATTGCCGATTTTTGGTGGCACATGGATACCGAATTTGTGCAATTCATTGACTTGTTATTTTGGCCTTGTGTAGTGATGATTTTTGCACCAAAAATTCAATGTTTGACCATACACATTTCCTTCCTACAAACAGGACACTTATAATGGCTACTAAGTAAACCTTCATTTATACACCAGTCAATTAATGCTCTTTTCTCTTTTTTGTTCTATATTTTACAGAAACTTCAAATTAATCTCACAACATTAATTCATTTTACTATCTAAACCACAAAACAAGCAATGAACTTCCTAACCAACACTCACCAAAATCCCTTACAAATCTTTTCCCATCATTCAAATTCACCGCAATCATGCAACCAATTGTGTCATAATAGGGTTTTCATAACATTCAACTACTCAAGTTACCATAAATGAAACAAGAATTTCGTGATAATAGAAGGGGCACCCTTAAATCTACTCTAACTGCAGGGAATTTTACAGTCTCAGGCAGAAGAGTTCAAATTTCAGACTGTAATCTAAAAAAATTCATGACAAAGGCGTATGTGACGTCACATGACAAAAGGGCTGGAAAAGTATATTTAGGCATCATGTAACTACAATAAAATCTATAGAAATATTTCCTTATTTATATATATCTTAAATGCAAAAATAATTTATGTATTAATAAACATATTAAACATAGATATATATTACAAAGGATGAATTTTAAATTATGTGTACTTTTGCAACATGCAAACTAGATTGGAAACAAAAAATGCCAGGGAGCATGATATTTTATCATATGTTGAGAACAGGGTACAGAGCTTTAACAGCTTAGAACTATTATTGTATTGGGTTGTTCAGAAAGTATTTTCATTTTTTCTTTTTATATGAAAATGAAAGAAGATTTTCTTAAAGTGAATAAATATTTTATTGAATTATGTATTGTTCATTCTGGTCCAATACCTTTTGGCATTTTTCTGTAAAAGCTTTTGGCGTGTTACCAAACTTGTATGAGATCTCGGATTATCTTAGTGGAACACTACACCTTTTCTATTGAACAATTCTGGCTTTTTCTGTTAAAGTTAGTCATTCAATTTATCCAGCTGATGACAATACACTTCAGAATTGATCATTGTGCTTTCCAGTAGAAGCTAAAAAATAAATAAAGATTCCTTTGAAATCCCACCACACGTATTGCATCACCTATTTTAAGTGAACTGATAAGTTTTATCCCCTTAGCAAATGATGTTTTTGTAACTTTACCTTTTAAAGTTTTCCTTGATAAATATTATGATATTAAAAAAATGTGCCACTTTTATTAAAATTAATTTTCTCCCTCCTTCCCCCCCTTTTTTAAAAAAAACCATTTTAATGTTAACTTTGGGAATGCAAGAGGGAAAAAAAAAAAAAAAAAAACAGAAATTTTGACATGCAGTGTAGCTAGCAAAAGTAAAAATTTATGGAAGTAAATTCAGAATATATAATATAAATATTGTAATATTTTTTACAAAGTTAACTAAATTATATATGGTAATTTTTACTTAAGTATTTCTTTTCTTTCTTTTTTAGATTGCAATAAAAAAGAACAACATTCCACTATGGGAATTAGAAGGTGAAGCACTTAGCAATGGAAAAAAATCAGCTGAAAGTACAGATGCTTCATAGCAAGCATGCTTTAAAAACATGCAACAAATGCTTAGTTGTGCATAAATGCAAAATCACTCATTTTTAATGGTATGCATTTGTCTATGTAATGTCATTTTTAGAAATGGTAATTTTTTTTAATATTATATGTATTAAAACATATGTTTTAAATTCATTTTGTATACATTGCATAAAGAACACTATTCATTCCAGCATACCATTCATAATGCAAGGCATTGTTTCTTATCGTTACTGTGGGAATAATTTCAATTCATTCCCAAACCTTTGTTGCATGTTTGTCATTGATTTTTTGAGAGAGTCAGTTTTCAAAAAATTGCTTAGTTGGTTAGTTTCTTCTTTTCCTTCAGTATTGTCCCAAAGTTATGCATAGCATTATCATTAAATGTGGTTGGCCATTCAATTCACCGTAGCTTGTTCTAGATTCTACTGTGTGATGTACACCCAGACTTTTCCCATATCCTCAGCTGGTCCTTTATTATTAAAGTAGCTGTAGATTCTTTATGGTCTCCTTCTCTTACCTTGCCATAACAAATTTCCATGGGGGTTTTCTTATGCTGCCGCTCAAAGAGGGCTTGCAATTCTTTAATTGCAATATAATATTAAAAAATATAGTTATTTCTCTGCCTCTTATCGTTTTTTAAGCCACAAACATATTTTCTATATTTAATTACCACTGAATCCAAAAGTAAACAAATTTACCTCCACATTCAATGCACCAATAATATGTTATGATATTTGTATGTTTTTTAGATTAAGCATTGAATTTCTTAGGTAGAATAGTTTTCAGTCTATGCATGCATTCATTATGTAAGGCAGCTCTGTATTATGGATTCTGGTCTGCTGGGATACATTGAAGCCTTTCACAGTATTTATTATGTGTAATATCTTGTAAAGTTATGTAATTATTGAAAAGTAAAAAAAATATTGCTAAGTAGTAGTTTGTATATTAAAACATGTTGAAACTAATTATATTTAACAAATTCAATTATTTTTAGTTTAACTTCTTCATTATTACATAAACATCTTTAGTACCTTTTATAATTAGGTCAAATTCAGCTTTACATCAACATTTGTTTTGTGATCAGAAAAAGAGAGAGAGAACTCTGTGTGTTTCTGGAAGACAAGTACAGCTAAGTTTTTGATTTTTCATGAAACTGTTCAAGTTCATGAAAAATTTCCTGGGAAAAAAAAAACATATGCAGTTTTTAAAAATTAAGTTCAATAAACATTTTTCCAGAAATCATTGTGCGTGACTGCAATATGTAAATTGAAGTTAAATGCTATTGTTGATTTTGAATTATATGACAAAATGAAAAATTCTAAAAACAATGATTGGAAAAATTTTTTAAATAAAAGTATCAATGAAAAATACTCTGATTGATATGAATATGAATAACCTGTGGAAAAAGTATTTTGTAAAAGCTGCTGAAATAATATTGGTAGTAGTAGAATTTGTTAAAATAATTGTTGAATGTTGAAGCAGAGGTGATTTAACAGAGTAACTGCATAAAAAGTGCTAAAGAATTTGTTTACAAATTGAAAGGGGGAAAAAAGAAAGGAAGTAAATTAGTTTATTAAAATTTAAATAAATAAATGAAATAAACAAAAGAAGCAATATACCACATCATAATTTTTTTCAAAATGCAAGTTATCCAAAAAAAAAGTATTTTTTAAAGATTCCTTCAAGAAAAGGGAGGGGCAGAATAATCTGCAGAGATGTATGAAGGAGACTTTTAGAAGCAGTCAGAATAATTTCAATTCAAATGCTGACTACAAATGTATTCAAGAACACTCTATTTTCAGAGGCAATTAAATTTATCTATAAGACAAAATACAAAAGAATTGAAATAGTGTTTATGATTAATGTCAGACCCTTACTAAAAAAAATAATGTTTATGCAAGAACCGGCAAAACGTCAGCAAGTTTAGAATAGCCAACACTTTCTTAAACAGAAGCCCAAACACCAGATCATGATGTAACAAACTGGTGGCTGAAAATCGCCATTAGTTACCCACTACCTGTCTTAAAAGTATCTCTATGAACTATATGAATTCAATGAACTTAATACTATTCGAATATCCTTACAAACCCAATGAACTGTGTACCTTAAAAACTCTGTGATTCGCCTAATTTACGCTTACGTTACCGTAATCCGAAGATTAACCCAAATACCTTCATAAATTTAAATTTCAAGTTAGGCTTAACTTACTCTAGAATACTTCCAAATGGTAAAATTTTCTCGCAGTAGACATCTTGTTAATTAGGAAATGTATTATATTGACAACTTTAAGGCCATTATTATATTCTTGGCATATAACATATAACAATAGGGCGCTTCCTTCTTATGAAAAGAAGGAAAGGAGTTTAGGCAAAATTGCCCATTACTCTTCCGCCATTTGATCATTTAAGTTAAGGGATTTAAATGGTAACTCCCGTAAAAGGTAAATAATAAATAGATAAGATCTCAAACTGACACCAAATCTATAGTATCAGCAAAAGATCCCATCTCTAAGTTCAAGGTGTCGGCTGGATCGTAAAAACTTCCCTATTGGATGGAAAACCGATTCAATCCCTCCCAAAACCACCAAACGCAATTCTTGACCAAACAAGAGTGCGATGGAGAGTCAAATAAATAAATAAATAAGGAGGGCAGAGGTGCATTCTCAAGCCAAATGGCCAGGTAGTGTATAAAGATTTGATATCATTATATTCCAAAACACAGCTATGAGAGGAAAATCCCTGCATAGTTTCTTTTCAAAAAAAAAAAAAAAATAAATAAATAAATAAAAATAAAAAAAGAACTCACAGGGCGTCTCAAAGCTTGTTTCTTGTGGTTCCATATTCACCTTACCTGTAGGTGTTTAGTATACATCAGAAACCCTATTATGCCAGAGAGCCCTTTGTATAAAAGGGCTTGATCAAAGGTAATATAGGGAAACCCAAGGAATTTGTTTCTAGGGACAGAGAACATTGGACATCGTCCCAAAAAGTGAAAAGATGTTTCCTCTTCTTCTCCACAAGCTGGGCAGAGAGGAGATTCAACAAGACCACATTTGTGGAGATGCTTAGCTAGATAAGCATGTCCAGTAACAATTTGAATTACCTGGCGTAAGTTAGTTCTACTGAGGTGTATGAGTTTACCTGAAAAGTTAAGTGTACTGAGCACCAATTTAGAATGAGCACAGTCTGGAAGTTTAGACCATATATCATCATGTTTGTTCTTTATTCCAGCTTCTTACTTCTTTTTTAACCGTTTGATATGAAACTGGGTAAAAATGGTTCTGGGCCAGACATGGGGAGTTGCGAAGCATCTTTAGCTACTTTATCAGCTAGTTCATTTCCAGCAAAATCACAATGACCTGGGACCCAGACTAAACTAATGGTATTATGGGCCTGAGCCAGAGAATTGAGATCTTGAGTACAGTTCAAAACACAGTTTTGTAACTTGACACGATTAGCCAAGGGCAAGGATGGCTGAGTTGGCTGTCAGAGAGAATATATATATACTTATTAACTGTATTTTTAGCTAAGAGCTCCTTGGCGACCATATTGATCGCCAGAACCTTCGGCTTGGAAAACAGTTGTAAATTTACCAAGGTATAGATGAAATCTAATGAAATCTTCTTCAGATCCCTTGGTCCTTATAATAGCTCCAGCTCCAGATGAAGTTGGATTTTGATCCATCTGTGTAACATTCAATTGAGCCTGTTAGGAATTAGGTCAATTAGAGATTCTATCTCATTCCTTTTTGGTATATGAAGTTGAGAATATAGTTATCCTGGAACTATTGTTTTAGTAATTGCATCTTTGGGCATATAGATTATAGGGATCTCATTGCCCAAGTCCAGGCATATGTCAATGTGGCTTTTCAGGTGGCTTTTATGACCAAAACCTGTCCTTTGGCACCATGTGCCATTTTTATTCAATCTATACATGGCTTTAATTGCTTCTCTCGCTCAAGAATAATTTCAAAGGGTGGAATTTGCAGTAAAATTCTATTCTAATGCAGCAGTAGGGGTACTATTTAAAGCCCCACTAATGCTTAGGCAAGCAAGTCTTTGCACCTTTTGTAAAATGTTTAAATACAAGCTTTTTGTTAATAACATTAATCCAGACCACGCATCCGTAAGAAAGCATTGGCCGGACAATGGCAGTATAAATCCATAGAGTAGATTTTGGGTTAAGGCCCCATTGTTTACCAACGATTCGCCTACAAAGTACTAGAACATTTGTGGCTGTTTGTGCCTTTTCTTTTATAGGGGTGATCCATGTAAGTTTACTATCCAGGTAACATCCTAGGTATTTAACGCATTCCTTACGCCTAATAATCTGGTGACCCAGATATAAATCTGCCAGTTTCCATTTCCTTCTCCACGTGAAAATTATGACCTCAGATTTTTCAGCAGAGAAAGAAAGGCCATTTGTATCAACCTAGTGTGAAACTTTATTTAAGATCTGCTGAGCTTGATTATGTAGGGTTCTCCAGACCTTAGGAACATATCCTAAAATCAAACTGGACCTGAATATGTCCACGAGAATGTGACCAAAAATATCCCAGCCTTTCTGAAGCAGAATTGGGTAAATGCCATCGTTCCCTGGAGATTTAAAGGGAAGAAATACATCAAAGGGCCGCTTTAGCCTTTTCAAAGTTCACTATTGTCTTTAGCAAAATCCAGAATCTAATGGATTATGAAGTAGTTCCAATGGATTTTCCTGGGGGTCAGAGGTTGATACTTCTGTCCCCCAGATGAAAATTCAACATGGTCGAAAGTGTATCCAAAGGGTTTATAGTATAACTGCCATCAGGTCGCATAACCGATGAGAGTTGAGACTCCTGAGATCTTTTAAGAATCTTATGTACTCTGGCAGTCTCATGGTAGGACAGAATATCTGTGCAGAACGATCTCCATGAGTTGTATTTAGTTTTCCTGATTTCACTTTTAAATTTCTTTTGTAGAATTTTGAAGTTAGACCAGTTAACTTCAGATTTATTTCTGACAACTTTCCTGTGCGCTCTCCGAACCTCTAGGCGGAGGCTTTCAAGCTCCTTGGTCCACCAAACTCTCTTG